AAATGGAACCCTATACTTTCTATTGCATATTCTTGTAGTTAATACTGAGATGTATTCAAAACACTACCTACATATGTATATATTTTTCGTAAGCTGTTATTGAGTTATTGATTTTGTACATCATGGTGGTTCTAAAAAGAACCGATTTTGTATGTGCGTGTGTGTGCTTCAAAATAGTGTAATCTAAGGTGGCTATCCTTCAACATGTCCTTCATTGTTAAGAATGCAATCTGTGTTGGAATTGCTTTTCCACCTTCTTTAACATTTTAGATGTTATTTTTGCACATGCACTACTTATACGTTGGCGTAATTCCATTACACTGTCAACTGGAATGTGATAAACTATTTGTATTAGATACCCCCACAGAAAGAAATCGCATGACGAAAAATCTGGCGAACTTGGTTGCCATGATATTGACACTGTTCAATTCACTTATTTTGAAAATTTTCATTCAACCATTTCTTTACTGTTGACATATAATGTGGAGGTGTACCATTTTGTTGGAACCACATATTTCTTCTTTCTTTTAATTCCATACTGTCCAAAATGTCAGTTGGGTATGTTTGCAAAAAATGTAAATATTTTTGTCCATTGAGCATTTCGTCTAAAAAATACGGACAAACTAATTTCCGATTAAATATCCCACAGTACACCATCACTGAGTTTCGGTACTGATTGTTTCTTTCCAAGATCCAATATGGATTTTTCTTAGACTACATTCTATTAAATTGTGTACAGGTAACGCCGTTTGTGTGAAAAATGCATTCGTCCATTCGCATGAGGTAACGAATAAACTTCGGATTTATTATTATCAATTGTTTTCGTTTAGAAAAGCACCAAGGTCGATCGAGTAATCTGACCGCGGTGTACATACATACATAATGTATGTATTTATGTCCAGCAACGCTAATGTCGGTGCAGCAGCACGTAAACTTTGAAGGTTAATAACTCAACAATGGCTTACGAAAAATACATGTGTAGGAGTGTTTTGAATACGTCTCAGTATTAGCTATAAGAATATGCAATAAAAAATAGAAGATTCCATTTAAAAATTTAAACGTGACTTTCACAGGACTCTACAACATTATCTTAAAGGCGAGTCGGTGGCTCGGTGGGTAGAGTGTCGGACTCGTAGTCTGTGAGGGTCCCGGGTTCGAATCCTGGGAGTGGCGAAAAATTATCAAAGTGGTTTTTTTTTCCCTCATTACGAAGACAAGACCTACTCTCCGGATCACGGGGAGGCTGATTTCAATGATTTCCCATTTTTCCGGGAGATCTGCGAATTATTAGCCACCCAAATCGACCACCCCTACCCGCAAGGGTACTCGTCGCCGTAGCTCCTACTGACGGAGTATAGGGTAAAAGGGGGGTGGCCGGCAGACACAACGGTCCTCTGGGTTGCCAAGCCCGGTCGACCGGAATCACAGCCAGCCCACTCACTATAAAGGAATTGCCTCGGATGAATTTACGTGTGGACCTACAACAACTGACATGGAGGTGCCTGCACCGACCAGGCCCCGATGGACAGAAGAGAAGAAACGGCCATGATGCTCGCCAAGGAGGAGGCACACCTCATGCTCGAGGGAGAAAGATTTCTGAACCAAGCCCTGAAGAGGATATTTCAACCAAGAACGTTAGAGGCCATCAAAGGACAAAGGAGGAAACCTGCCTAGAAAACTATGGTGCAACGGTTGATCACGGAGCTGACAACCGTGAGACCAGCACCTGAGCCTCCACCTCAGGATACCACCGACGAGGACGATCCGATACTAGTTCATCTGACCAATCTCCAGACGCTAAGGGAAAATAGTTACCGACCAGCCGAACTCCAAGATATCGTAGATCACATAAGGATACGAGACCAGGAGGAATCTATACAATATCTCACAATCTACTTGCGGAAAATGCACCGACCACCTCAAGCCTCTAGGAAGCCACGTCGAGAAACTCCGAATCAACGGCCACAAACACGCAGGCAGTAGCGGCGCCACGAATACGCCATGATACAACTACAATGGCGCCGGAACAGGAAGAGATGCATGACGAATATTCTGGACGGACTAGGAAAAATGGAACAGCTCCCTCGAGAAATCATGGAGCCCTTCTGGAAAGAAGTGATGAGGGGAGCTTCCAGTGCAACGCCTCCTACATCTGAAGAATGCACCGTCGTCCATACAGACATATGGGCACGGAAATTAAAGAGGCGATGTTACCAAGAGGTACAGCGGCAGTACCCGATGGGCTCACCGCGAAACAACTTAGAGCCATACCTATGGGCATCCTCATAAGAATATTCAACATTATACTGTTCTGTTGGCGACTACCACTGCACAGCAAGAACAGTATTCCTACCAAAAATCACGGATGCTAGGGAACCGGGGGACTTCAGACCAGTAACAGTTCCACCGGTGATGACTAGATGCCTCCACAAAATACTGGCCACCAGAACAACTGCCGCAATCAAAGTGGATGACAGACAAAGAGCATTTAGAGCCACTGACGGATATAGGGATAACACCTTCCTACTTGATTTGGTTCTGAAGTACCACCACAACCGGTTCAAGGACCTGTATCT